GCTTCCCGTCTTTCTCCCTGCTGAAGGGTGGCCAGAGTGACCACTGCCGCTCTCTAAATGGTGGCTGTCCCCCGCCGAGTTTGCTGGAAGCTAATTTTCTGGTTCTTTTTACGTCTCAGACTTAAGCTTTCAGTACTGAAAGGCCTCGTTTCTATTCTGAATGCTAACTGTTTGTATTTTCCAGTTATGTATATCAATGTATTTGAATCTTGGGAAGTATGATTTGAAAGTAATGTTATTGTAATCATTGGTGGTGGACTGGTGACTAAGTGTTTCATATGTGCTGCGTTTCTCTTAATTATAGTCGTCTTCATGTTCTCAAATCCTAACACTTGAACTACCCGAATACTACTTAAAGAGAACAGCTTGCACAAAATGGTTTGTGAGATTAAGGCTTATGACTTAATAACAGGAAAGATTCTTAAGGCTTGCTTGTCATGTTATCTCACTGAATTTTGGCCTGATTCTCAGTAGTGCCGTCTGCTAACTTATAAAGAACTAAAAAGTGATGTTCCACTTATGAAATATGACAGGGTGTCTGCTTGAAAGAAATGTTTTTCCATTACCTACTAGCGCTGAATGGCATGCATGCCATGGTACAAAATGAAATGCTTATATTGTACATGGTCTCAGAAAACATGTTTAGACTATATGTTGTGGGTTGTATGTTAAGTCTTTTGGGATGTCTCTGCTTAACCTTTTTATTTGCAGTTAAGCCAGTTGCACAGCATCTTTCCTAGCAGTTGTGAGCATGTACATAAAAGTGTGGGTTTACCACTGTAATGTATACTGCTCTTAATACTTTTTTTTTTGTAAATAAAGAAACAAACCCTGCCACCACGTGGGCCACTGGTGGGTTTTGAACTACTTTTGAGATTGTGAAGTACAGAACTAGTAGTAGGTGATGCCAAAAAAGAGCGTTAGGGTAGTTGTGCGCTATTCCTGCGCGTTTAGGGGAAAATTCTTGTGGCTTGGGTATCTCAGAAGTATTTAATAGTGAAACTTTCCTTTAAAACCAAAGAAACACTAGAGATGCACTGGAAGCAATACAGTGAATGTTTTATAAGCAGATACTGTTGCTCTGTTTTTCCTATAAAGAGCTAAAAAGAACGTGTGTTAAACTTCATTATCCTCTGTTAACACTCTGCTGTTGGATGAATCTATTGGTAGGTTTACTAGGCATGGTGTGGTATTTATGGCAAGCTGATTGTAGCTCTGATTGCCATAGAGGTAACTGATATTTGCTATGCTACAGAAATGACTAGTAGCTTGTAGGTGTCAGAGCTGCAGCTGAAGTGTAGCATTGAGCAAACAATCATTTAAAGTGCATCAAAATGATCATGTATAGCTGAATTCTCATATCCCATGAAGAAAGAGTAGAGCTGAGTAGTTTGTCATGTGATGCAGCTTGGTAGTTTTTTTGTTAATTACGTTCTTTAAATCTGTAGTGGAAAACCGAAGTTTAGAAGCAAAAAGTGAGTTGGAATACAGACTGGTCACAATTGTCATAAAATGGACCTTTTAAAGGCTCCAAAATGTTGACAGGAAAATGTGTCTAGATACTATGGCTTGAGAGCTTTCGGTTTTGGCTGTCTGGAGGGGTGTGTGTGTGCTTGTAGAGGAGTGGAAGCACGTGCTCACACTCAATGTTGAGATTTTTTCTCCACTGTGATTAGGTTTCTGGTTGCTACCTGTATCTTTTAACGGACTGCACTGTTTTTAAACTCATTTGCTTTTCTGTTCTAGGCCTCCTTAGCCACATATACATCTTATTGATTGTAAAATACAGTGTCAGTTGCTGTTGAATCTTAATGTACATCATGTGCACTTGTGAAGTATTATCTTTATTACTCTTGTTTTCCTACACCTTACAGTTCTAGAAGAAAGTTTTAGTAAGTTCTTTCACTAGCAAATTAAAACATCCCTTAAAAAATAAGTTAACAAGAAACTAGGATATCTGATTAAGCAATGAAGGGACATTTTTGCAAAACATCTTTTTTTTTTTTAAGATTAAAGGTTTAATCTGATAAAGTGGCTTTGTTTCATGGCATCAGTAAAGTATTGCTTAACAAGAAACTAGGATATCTGATTAAGCAATGAAGGGACATTTTTGCAAAACATCTTTTTTTTTTTAAGATTAAAGGTTTAATCTGATAAAGTGGCTTTGTTTCATGGCATCAGTTCAAAGTATTGCACCAAATTACTTTTGTTCCAATAAAGCCAAAATTAGATAATGCTTAGCTCCTGATTCAGCAAAGGAGCCACACTGATGAATCGTATGAAAAGATCACTAGATACTGAGACAAGAGGCTCTCCATCTGCAGTAATCTCTGACTTACAAAAAGAAAGTACTGTTTAGTGCTTTATTCCAATATATTGCAACAAAAAGGGTGGTGAGACTGTAGCCTTCTGGAAACTTTTTTTAGTGATGTTGGCTGGCACTTCCTGCAGGGTGAGCTCAGTGATGGGGGAGAGCACAGGAAGTCTTTAAATTGGTCAGTGTGAATCTTTTATCTAATGTATATTTATGCTTTCCTATCTGAATTCTAACACTTGAGTATTAGTCTATTGTGAAGTTAACCTGTGTACACCCAAACAGAAGAGTTTCTTTTGTGCTAGTAACAGAAGGCTTTTAGTGAAAGGGAGCTGTTTCTCTTCTCTCCATGTACCCCTTCCCTAAGTGCTAGCTAGAGGGGAAATGGTGAACTGGAACTTCCTTTGAGGTTAGGAGGCTGCTGAGATGTGTTGCTGTAGTTATGTTAGCTTCAAGTCATGTACTTAAGATACTGATGACCTGCAAATTGAAATTAGGGTAGCTGCTGATTCACATAAGAAAACATTTATCTAGAACAATGTGAAAAAGCTGATGCAGGAAAGGTAGGGCTTTTTGCAAGCAATGAATACAATCTGTAACCTGTTGTCAGACCTCGGGGGACAGTTAGACTTGGTTCCCATTGATTGAAATATTGAGGTCAGTGCTCTCATCTTGATAAAATAATTCTAAGCTATAAATTGATATCAAGTGAACTGTGCTGGAATTACTCCAATAATAAACCTACTGTCAAACTGTTTTAAAAAAAAATCGGGTAGACACTTTCTGTTAGTTAATTGCTCGAGACAAATACAACTTTTGTGTACTAGTCTCTCAAATGTGTGGAGGACTGCAAAATAGCCAACCCAAGAGAGCCGCTGATGTGGTGCTAATCATGCTATACAGATCCTGATTGCTTTGCTGGACTTGCATAACCTGGAAAAGCTGTCTTGGCTGTCTAAGATAGCTGGGGGGTGGAGGGGGGAAAGACAATGCAAGGAGGTTCAGTGCTATGTGCAGTGTTCATATGCCTGGCTTGCCTCTGTTGAAGATGAAGCAGTCAAGGGGCAGGTGACATACACCTGCCTCTTAGTCAGTGACTTTCAAGAGAATCTTTTCCAGCTGGGTCTTCCTTGTGTTCTGCTCAGGCCCCTTTATCAGCTCCTAACAGGACCTGATGGACATGTAAAACTGAGCTATTAAAAGAAAGAAAATATTTTCTACAGACATATAAAGAGAATGGAATTTTAGCTCTTATAATTGCATTATCCTTTTCTTCTAAGTGTATAAGTATTCTTCAGACCACTTATAAGACACTAGAGTCAAAATACCAAAATTAGTAGCTTATTTCAAAGAGCTGTTTGAGATTACTTATCTTTGAATTAACTGTGAACTTAAATTAACTTAAAATGTTTTCAGAAGATAATGTAGTAGAATTCTTAGAGCAGCTTGTATGCTTATTCTGAGGCTTTTCTCATCCTGCCACTTGGTTTCCTTTTGTGTGTTAGCTGAGAAGCATATCACTGAGCTTTCAGGAACAGTGTCTGGAGGGGGGGGAAAAAAAAACCAAAACAAAAAACCCCCAAACAAACCACACCACTGCTTCAAAAAAGCCCCCAAAAACAGATGGGGAGAGTTGTGGGCTCACGTAGCAAAAAAAGGGGAAAAGATACAGATAAGGAAACTTGCAAAATAGTGTTCTGAGACTTTTAGTGATAAACTATTTTATTTTGTTCTAGTGGCTCACTAATAGTGAACTACTTTGCCTGATTCCTGCAAATCAAAGATCCTGTTAGGCTGGCTCCTACCCAAACTTCATGTACTCCTGTGAAATGCTTCGAGTTCAGCTTAGACTTACCAGTATTGTGAATTCAGACTCTTTCCACACAACTCTTATCCTTCCCAAATCATTCAAAACAGCAGCAAAAAGATGTAATAAATGATTGGCTTAAGCCAGATTTATTTAGAATAGACTCCTGGCAAACTGTAGTGAAATGACTAACTGGCTTAGTATTGACTCAGCCTTCTGGCTTAAAGAGTATTTTGATCCAGAAATCTGTCTTCTATTGATTCAGATGTTTTTATTAGTAAATTAATCTGAAGTCAAATGAGACATTTGTGTGTAAAACTTAACTCTAATCTGTTTTGCTTTCCAGGCATCTTTTCTTACAAAGAAGCTAAATATTGGTGGGAAAAGAGTAAACCTTGCAATATGGGTATGTTTACTTTCCTATTTTCCCTCCCCTACCTAAATAAAATATTTTCCTGAAAAATTACTTAGGTTTACTAGAACTCAAATGTTAAGCACTTTTTAAAAAAGTAAAATTTCAAAGTATTTGGAGTTTCTTGAAGTATTGTTTGCTTTGTCTTAAATGCTAACAAGTGTATTAAATGCAGGATACAGCTGGTCAAGAAAGATTTCATGCATTGGGGCCGATCTACTACAGGGATTCTAATGGCGCTATTCTAGTATATGATATAACAGATGAAGACTCTTTTCAAAAGGTACTGGACAGATTTTTACCTCTGAGATGTAAACTGATTGAAAGATAGTCTGATGTGAGTGTGTAAATGGGAATCTTCTGTTTTCAGCAATACATATTACATCTGCAAATTTAGACCATATAATGGAAGTATATGCCTTATTAGTATTCTTTTGAAGGCTGACTTTTTCAGTCTACTAAAGTTCTAGCAGGGTTATTCAAAGAACACCAGAGAATTAGATGTGTGAGTTACCTGTGACAGGCTATAAACATAAACCAGTACTGTTGTTATAGTATCCAATACTGATCTCTACTGTATAAACCAAATTACTAAAAGGTATTAAGTGACGTGACTTTTCACAGATCCGAGAACTCTGAAATTGCAATACGTGGTAGTGGAAACATTACTTTCTCAGTGATAATAGATATTTGGACTTCAGATCCTCATCAAAACCTGAAATTTGATGGCTAATTATTTTACAGCGGTATTAGTTGAGCAGGGGAGGTTTTTTCCAACCCTGTGTCAAATCAGTGCTATCACTCTATAGGATGTTCTAGCTGAAAACTGGTGACACTCTTTCCTAAGTGAGTTTGTCTCCGATTAGCTTGTGGCAAAACCAGTAAGACTTCTGTGTAGAGGAGTAAGGAATTGTGGTTGTATGGGCAAGGCTTGGGTTAGCAGTGATAGAAGTAGTATAAGGGTATAGTTCCACAACAGCTTAAGTAATTTAAATAGTCTGATGCAGGGCAAGTAAAGCACTTGTGCTGGCAGTTAAACTCTTGCCCCTCCTCTGCAGAATTGTGAAGGCTTGTGAGTACTACTCCAACTTGTGCCTTTTCATGCTGAGCCCTACTTACTAAAATTCTGTGATAGTAAAACACTTAAATTCTCAGAAAGAAGAAGGAAGGTTAATTTGCAGATGTTATTGCATAACTACCTCTGTATCATGTATCCTAACTATTTTTAGGTTCTTGAAGTGATTGCCTCTCTTCACAACTTAAATTCCCTTAAAATAGCAGTCCCTAAGTCAATGCAGTGATCATACAACTTCAAAGCATGACAACAGAATTAATAACAGATACCTTACCATCAGCTGACTCGACACTCTTGTCCCATCTGTTCTCTCAGGAAACAAACATCTGTTATTATCTAACCTGAACAACTCAGTTCAGGTACCTCTACCTTTAAAGTACCATTTGTGATCTGTCAGTAAGTGCCTGTTGATAAAAGATCTCATGCCTGACCTAAAGTGGCCAATGCAGTGAACTTGTTCTTTGGAGTGAGGCTAACACAAGTGTGGTGAGTTATATTTCTGGAGTAATTGAACCATTTTATCTAAGTCATTTGCTCTTAATTTCAACTGCAAACTAAAACCTGCTGAACAAGAGCCATGCGTAGCTCTCTAAAGAATATCTTGTCCATCTATGTTGCTCTCAACATGTTTGTTTCAAGTCTAGAGTAAGCAGTTAATGAAGGAAATGGGTCAATTCTGCAGTGCCGAAGCTAGTAGTGTATCAAGTGAAAATAAACTTACCTCTGTTCTTTTTGCAGGTAAAAAACTGGGTTAAGGAATTAAGAAAAATGTTGGGAAATGAAATCTGTTTATGTATAGTAGGTAAGTCGTCTTTAACATGTGATTCTAATGACTGAATCAGAAGTGTTTCTTTTGATCAATAGCATCTTCCAAACACTGCTTTGACAGCTTGTACATGTGAAGAGGTAAAGCTTATGTTAATTTTACATTTAAAATTCAGTTGGAGCTAGTTCCAGTAGATCACATTGAGGAAAATAAGAGTTAGTTTCAAAAAAACAAGCTGTTTAATGATATACCATGTCAGAAGTGCATCATACAGACACCTGCAGACTGTAGTTTAACAAAGAGATAAACCTCAAATGTGTATTATCTTTCTTGCAAGTACTCAAATGTCATGTTTTTTACTGTTCTCAGTGGCATAGACTGGATGCTTGTCTGTTTTCTTAATCAAGTGCTTGGGGGGTGGAATGAGTCTTAAAGCTTGGATATTTCAACGCAAGCAATGCTACAAATGCTGGGTTTAGATTTAAAATCGGATCTAGTGATTAAAACACTTTCATGAGGATAGACGTATGGATATTCTACAAAAACTACCTCTGCAGCACAGATAAGCTGCTAATAAACCACAAAAGAAAAGCAGAAGGCTGAGTCGGTGGCTTATATGGAGGTATTTAGCTATCCTTATCTACAGAAGTAGAACTTCATCTTCGTTGCCTGTAAATGCTTGAGTGAAAGGGGATTCTTAAATCATATCGTTGTGCTCCAAATTGAGACCTGTGTAAGAGTTGGTCTTTACTGGGACAGCTTGTAAGAAAATGATGGGGTATGATGATTACATGACTGCTTTCCTTTGGATAATTTTGGAGTACAAAGACTTGAAAGATTAACTTGTTTCCAACAGGTAACAAAATAGACTTGGAAAAAGAGAGACATGTTTCAGTGCAAGAAGCAGAAACGTAAGTCACACCAATTATTAATAGAAACAGTCATTGCAGAATTATGCTGGAGTAATAAACTTGTGATGCTGTTAACAACTGGCAGGCATAAACCAGCAGTGCCTAGCTGGCTGCTGTGTTACGTGTTCTGTTGGTATCTGAGTTCTGGAATGTCCTTACTGACCAAAGTGTAACTTGGAGTTGTACATGATTAAAGTCAACATTTGCAGTTTAAATGCACTTCTAGACATTAGATTTTCTTTAACAGTGTTTTTCATTCATCATGACAGTTTTAACCACATAATTCCCTTTTTACATTGACTCAGCATGTGTAGATTAACTCCAAACTCAGAATAAAACCTCTTGTGATCATCTCTTTGCTTTATGTAAAGTGGCTTAGAAAGATTGAGTCCTTTAGTACAATGAAGTTCTGTATTTGCACTCCTACAGGTATGCTGAATCTGTTGGAGCAAAACATTATCATACTTCAGCTAAACAGAACAAAGGAATTGAAGAACTGTTTCTTGACCTTTGTAAAAGTAGGTATTATCTAGTCTGTTGGTAAAGAGCTCATTCACAAAATGCTCAAGGCTTCAGAATGCTTAGAACCATATAGAAAAGCCTTAATGTAAACTGTTACTAAGAACTGACTTCATCTGAGTCTACTTCAAGCCACTTGCATATTGTAACAGCTATGGAAGCTTGATGTATGGATGCTTACAATATTGCAAATTCATGCTGTACTCCAAAAATGTCTTGTCATTTGTTGGAGCACTGACTGCTGTTTCACTCAGCATGCATAAATAGTAACCTCAAATCAAACTTCATGTGACTGGTCTCACTGTTGCCTGCTTCAAGCCCTTTGTTCCAACTTCTTTCAAAACTCTTCTCAAATGATGTAAATAACAAATCATAAACTTGAAGTTGTAATGATGCGGATTTTACACAGCAGTCTAAGCAAATGGTAAAGATCACGGAATGTAGGATAAAAATGTTGCAACACAGGGAAGTTGTCCTATTCATTGTGTTTTTATGATACAAGGATTTAAGCAAAACTTCACCTGTGTGTCTGAAGAGTAGGTTGGGGGTTTTTTTGGGGGGGTGAGGTGGTATGTGTGGTGTATGGGGTTTCTTGTTTGTTTTCTCTTTTGACAGAATGTTCTTCATATGGGTGGGTAAGTCTAGCTTTTGAAGTCACTAACTCCAGAACATTTGAGCATCTAAGGTCTCCCTTAGTCAATAGGAGCTGCTGGATTTTTGGTGCTTTGGGAAGATTTAAGTATGTTCTCACAGCTACGCCATGTGATACCCGAGTACTTACTTGTGTGTAATAAATAGGAGAACCAGTCTTGCTGAACTTTGTGCATGTAACTCAAATAGATTAAGATCTCAAAGTCTTGTGTAAAAATGCAGTGGAATCTAATCTAATACATTTCTTCCTTTACAGGAATGATAGAAACTGCTCAAGTGGATGAAAGAGCAAGAGGCAATGGTTCCAGTCAGTCAGGAATAGCAAGGCGAGGTGTACAGATCATTGATGATGAGCCACAAGTACAGAGCAGTGGAGGGTGCTGTTCTTCTGGATAATTATAAAACTGTGCATCACTGCCCTCTCAATATGAAGACTGCCATATTCCAAGTCACGCATTCTTTACCAATGGAGTAATAGAATTAACAGTATTTAAAAATAATCACATGTAACACTGCAGAGACCTTAAGTGCTAAACTAGTGGCGTCTGTGACCAGAGAATTGGCATTTTCTACCGTGGTTAACAAAGCAATTACCAATGGCCTTTTTACATATTTTTCTTTAATGAGGAATAATATGCATGTAGAAAAGACCTACTTAAAGGCTTCATTTATATTCTTTTAAATCAGATCATTATTTAATAACTTATATACATTGTTGTTGGAATGGTATATGTTTTTGCAGCTCTTTGTATTTTGTGGTAGGTTGAATTGTATCACTTCTAAAATGCAAATTGATTTTTTTTAAATTAGCAGATATCTGAAGTAATATTTTTGCAGGGCCTCCACAAGCCTATAACTGTCAACTACTTTGATATATTCTGTTCATCCTGTATGCCAAGCTGGTAAAATACATTGTAAATTACATTAAATATTTTATCTGCTTTTACAATTGCAGGTGCAGAAATATGTACATCAGTCTTGTCAGTGGTTGTGAAGTGAATAAGTCAGTGAAAGATGCAAGCTTTTCACGTGTACTGTTGGATTGCTCATTCTATTCCCCCTACCTGAAAACAGCTTTTTTTTGCTACATTCATAGCTACAGCATTTATTTAAGCCTTTTCTGGCAAGCAGCAGTATTTAGACTATCCCTTTAGTGGGAAGAGAATGCTTCCTTAGACTGCTGTTTAACATCGAGGTGTTTGACTCCCAGCTAAAACAGTTGGCGCATGCATATATCTTGCCTCTGCAGTTACTTTGGCCTCTCAGAATATCCCCAGAAAGTCAAAGCAACTTTAGCCCTCATCTATCTGGTATCCAGTAAACCAGATGCATGGGAAACTCTTAAGCTGCATTAATACATTTGTGTCCCAAGACAGCGTTATAAACTATTAATGACATAATTTTTTTCCCTGTATTGTAGGGCTTGAGTGAACAAATGAATTGGCATTAACTAGAACTGCTTCTGATTTGGAGGGATTAAATGGAAGATATGAAACTTGTCAGATGTAATTGTAACTTTGGGAATACTAGACAGAACTTACTCCTGACTTGCTCTTTCTCTTGTAAAGCGTTTTGAAGCCCACTTAAGTTTTGGGAGGAGGGTTTTCAGAAAAAGTGTATAAACTATTATTGCTATAAAGGAACACAAATGGTGGTAGCTGAAACTTCAAAATGTTTTGTGCTTTGACTTTTTTACTTAAGTTGTCATGCTTGGAAAAACAGTAAAGGTGATGTCTATGACAAAATAGAATATTCCTTGGCCTTCCTTTTTCTGAAGGGTAGACTTAGTGTTGCATATGAATGCATTGAATGGTGTGGGTATGTTCCGATGCGCAAAAGGAGTAGTAGGAACTAATCAGTCTGTGTAAGAGAAGTGTGCTGTCTTCAATCTGATTTTTATTTTCTCTGAAATAGATGGCTTTGATACAGACTGGTCCTGGTGCATTTTTTCCCCCTTCTGCCTAAACTGTGGTGTAGATACTTTCTCTTAAGCTACCGTTGCTGTGTTCTTCTGACATGATTGTATGTACGATGGACAAAGGTGATCTGTTCATGCTAGTGAAGATAAGGTTTCTTGGCTGCACAGCGCTTTGGTATGAATCTAAAATTCATGATTATATGTGTGTATATATAGCAACACCATTAAGTTAACATTCTCATACTATATTTAACTTAACAGTGAGCCTTGCCAAAGCTGAAAAACAGGTCAGTTTGATCTAAAACCAGTACCTTCAAATCCATACAGTTAAATGAAAGTCAGTCTTGTAAGTGATACAATATTGATATGAGGAGTGAAATTGGCAAGACTCCATGTTGGAGACTGGAATCTCCTCATAATAGGAGTTCCAGTTTTTTTAATTCAAATTTCATTTTTTGCAGAGATGGAAAAAACAAACAACCCAACCTCAACTAGACTTGATAAGCAGATGAGTCATGAGGGCTTACCTACACCAGAGCATATGTGTTCTCTCCAGAGCAGAGCTTTCTCCACTTTGTTGAAGTGGACAGATGCAATTTTGGTCTGGAAATTAATACTAGTGTTAACCCAAGAGAATGTTACGTTTGACTACTTTGAAGTAAAAGCGGTGTGTAGAATGTATCTTTCTGCCTGTGCTAAAGAGTTTTTCTTTAGTGTATTCTGTGGTAGGGGCATTCTGTGTGACTTCTGTCAATTACAAAACTAACAAAGCCATGTTGACAGTAACTCTTAAGTCTCTTGCAAAACTAAAACTATTACTACTGAGAACTTAAGTGGGGGTAAGGAAGCTTAGTTTTGTATGATTAAAAAGGTTCTGGTTGCTATTAGAAATTTTTTTAAAATAAATTCTCAGAAGTTACTTCTCTTAAGCTACAGCCTGAAAACTAGTCTCTGGAAATCTTCCTGTTTAAGCTGCAGTTTGGTTGGACTTTATTTATGGAACTTAAAACCTGTGCTTAGCAGGGTATCATTATATTACCTTACAAAAGAAGTATAGCTTCATGAAGTCAGGGAAGTTGGTTTCCAAGACACAAGTAAAAATGTTATGGATTGTTTAGACTGATTAACAAAAGACTTCAGTTATTCATTGTCAGCGGACAAAATACAACAGTTCCAGGAAAAAGCAACTTTATTGAAGATACCTAGAGTGTTCTTTGCATTGAATATATAGGAAAGCACAGATAGCTTGGTTTTCAATATTTGAGCAGGATCTTATGCAAGTAACCTGGTATTACTACTGTGTGGCTTGGTTTTCAAGGGTCTTAGATTCCAGCAAATGCATCTAGATTGCCTGGTTTGTATGTCTTAAGGAAAACTGTTTTCTTGTTGCTAACTTCTGTTGCTGAAAACAAGTAAGCTAGTTTTCATTCTTCTGAGAAGAGTGCAAGAGAACAACTATGTCTGTCTTTAGAAAGTACCTCTATTGTGGGATGCATAGAACCAGCCAGACACCTGCTACAGCAAGTAAGTCAACATTGAGCACACTTCCTCAGTGTAAATCTTGGCAAAGGTTACTTGTATGCTATAATAAAAAAGGTCTAACTTACTACAAATACCTTTCTAAAACAACATTTAAGTACTTGCTTACAGTCTTGCTGCTGCTATGAAAATTTATCACTTGCTGAAATAAAATCTAGCAAACTAAAGTCCAAACACTTTAATGCAGCAGTATGTATCTGTTAGGAGTTATTTACGGACACTGCCTTATTGCACTTGGACTATAGTTCAGAAATTATAAAAGACCAGATAGACTGATTCAGGTAAGGACACTAATAAATTCAGATGTGTAGTACTTGGAGAGATGAGTAACTAGCTGTAAAGATTGGGGTGATGACTTCATCTGGCTTGCAGTGATCTCGCATATGGTTCCAAGATAGGGACATCCAAAGTCCAGATGAACTGAATCGGCTGGTCTCTTGAAGCAGTCAAGTAATTAAGTGTTGCCTTGATCACATGCTTTTTTTCAGTGTTTGCACATTGTGGACAGGCATTCTTGCTTACTACCACATTAAAAAGTATCCCTTAGCCCTTTTTATCCTGCCACTTTTGTTGTTCTAGGTGTTTAACTTGCATCTCTGCCTACAGCTCTTGAAGAACCTAGTAATTCAATTTCTACTTCAGATTCCAAGCCAGATGAAAAAAGCTTTGCAAAAGGGTGTGAGGTCATGGAAGGTGGTTGGAGTTCAAATGGAGTTCCCTGAAAATGTTGGATGCTGTCAGAAAAAACAGTTTAAAGAAGGCAAGAGGAATGGGAGTCCTGCTTGAGGACAAATGGAGGTCAGGAATCTCAACAAGCTGAAAGCAGTTAAGTGGTATGAATGATAGAGTATGGGAATAAGAGTTGGAGCCAGCCACCTCTGTTTTCTGCTTTTTGTGGAAGGAAAAGGAGAAGTAGAAAGAAAAAGGCAAGCAGGAAAAACTGAAGGTGCTGGGAGTGAGGTGCGGAGTTAACCACTGCTTGGTGGAGTTGCTAGTGTGTCTTCTCAGCAATGGTAGTTGCCTAATGCAAGACTTAGAAGATTACTTCCTAGGTTGTTTTTCCTTCTGTGAAATACCATTTTTGCTTCACTAAAGAGAATACAACTAACTTTGAACAGGCTTTCAGACACAATACTAACCTACTAAAAGCTTGATTAGAATATGCTAATTTATGAGCTATTTACAATTAACTGACTTAGTTAATCTTAGTTTGCATCAAAGCTTAGGATATTTTTCCTGACAAGTCAGGAAATATATTTTGCAGTGAGGATAACTTTTCCTACAGTTGTGTCAAGGAGTTGCAGATGAAGACCAAGATCCTTGGCACCAGTTGCTGCACAAGCTCAACAAAGACAGACCTAAAACTAGCTCTCTTTTAACTGTGCTGAGCACTGTTGCTCATGCTACTCTTTGGGGGATTCTGCTCAACGCCAGGATTTTTCCTCTATTTAGGACAAACCTGTGCATCTCAGTGATGTAGCTGTCTACTGAATTAAGCCTTTTTCTATAATAACAACAATGTGTACTCTTGCATTTTTGGAGCTGTCATTGGCCACTGTATCGAGCAGAATGAGATGGATAAATGGTTTTGAGAGTTGTGGAGAATCTGGAATGTTTCTTGTCTTGAGATGTCTTGAAAAGTGAGAATCTATGAAACTGTCACCATTATGACAAAGGTATTTATTCTGTCCAAGATAACTGAAAATATTTTGGCTTGGAGGAAGTCTTACTGTAACCTGATGAAAATGATAAATTGCTCTACTTCTAAAATGAATATTTACTTCAAGCTGATCTCTTTTGATTCTTAATTTTTTTTCTAAGACTTAAGTTTACCAAACTTGGCCAAAACATTCAATTGATTGGCATGTTCTACAGCCCTAAAATAATGTCTGTGACTGTAGGGAGGAGCTGTGTACTCATTCATATTCCACTGGATAGTTTGGAGCTTTGATTGTATTTATTCAGTACCAGGATGTTGAAAGATAGACTGCAAAAATAATTGTTTCCATCTATTTCCACTGCTCTGTGCACCCAGGCAAGCAGCATGACCTGATGCAGCTGCAGAGTGAATGTGGAAGAGAGGGACAGAAGCCCTCTTTTCTGCTTGTTGGCTGCACTGATCCTCGTTGTTAATGAATTACTACTACAGGAAACTTTCCCTGCTGGAGATCCCCCTGTACAAGAAAAGAAACGTTGTCCGCTTGCTTCTCTAGCTCTTCTCAACAGTGATAGGTACTACAGCAGTAATACCCAGTTCCTTTCAGTTTGAGAACATTGTTTTTTGTCAAGAGGAGATTTTCTTACTTCTTGACAAGTCATTTTTTCCCAGTGTATCTAGTCTCACTGATCTCTTGCAAGGGGTTTTAATACTTCATTGTAGGTCACCTAGAAGCAATGCAATTTGAAAGTATGACAACAAAAGATGATGAGTAGCAGTATTGCAACAATCTTCCCCAGCAATTGGTCATATCCTGCCTCCAAACCAGTGAAGAGAGAAAATTGGAAGTTTAATGGTGAATTCTTGCTGCCTCGGGTACCTGACTCCTGATTCTTGGATACTGGAAGTAACCTTGAAGAAATCAGTCAAGAGGATTGGAGAGAGCAAGGACTACTTTATCATCTGTTGCCAAGTAGTTGAGATCCTGTGATGGATCCAAACTCATGTAACATCTCTTTTGAGCTGTTGAAACTGTTAAACTGCAGACCCTTCTTCAAGTTAACCATTGCTCCATTCTGAAAGGTCAACGAATTTGGGACTCACAGTGGAAGAGAACGAGTGGTTTCTTTTTTTCAGAACAGGAAACAAGAAACTGCCTAATCAGGCTTTTCTTAGCAAAGGGAGAAGAGGAAGGCACTTGATACCTGAAGATTTAAGTGCTGTCAGTGCTATTTGATAATACAGGCATTATAATGATTGTCTTACTGGATTTTTCTCATCAGATAAGCTCATTGAGCTTATCAGGCTCAATCAAATAGTATACTTTTCTTTGAACCCAGAGAAGATGTTAGCAGGGCAAAAGCCAACACTGAAAAGGACACAGCATTTATAATACCAGGTAACTTGACATTGTCAAATGCTGTAGGAATATTTTATTTGGCATTTGTGGATAAAAGAAATTTTGAAAAAACATATTAAAAAACAGTATCTAGCAGAGGCTTCACAAACCTTAACTTTCCCAGTCCATTGCTGCAGCTGGAGTTCTTAAATACATCTTAAGAGTATTTTATATACCAGTGCACTTGCATGAAGATAGTTCTGTGACAAATTAATTCCAAATGATCAATCAACTAAAGGAAGAAGAACTTCTTTAGCATGACTGCTATTCTATCAGTGCCTAATACTAAAAGTGAAAATGCATGTAAGTGGAAATGGATCAATAGAAAGGGGAAAAATGTATGCTGAAAATCAATACAAGAAAACAGCTGGAAACTCTTGTTACTGTCATATCTGAAAATTGTTATATCTTACAT